TTTTTGGTCTGTCTGTCTGTTTCGGAACGCATCACGAGAAAACCACTGAACAGATTTTGATGAAATTTGGTAGACGATAGCTGGTTATCCGGGTCAATATATAGGATACTTTTTACTGCGGGAAAATATCTCTTCTCTGAGAAATCTATACTATACGTTAAAACGTAAGTAGGGACGAACCCGAGCGGAGCGGGGGTGAGTCATTAGTTATATTATAATTAGAGTACACGTCAAAATATCAGTTCAAAAATAATGTAAAATGTTGATTTTAGATATATTTTCTATGAAAGTATTTTACATAAATAACTTTATCATCTTTATTTATAGCTAAAATATCTTTTTATACTGAATAGAAATCACCCGGATACATGTTACTGAGTCTATTCAGTATTCAAACATTCATGATTTATGAACTTACCTATAGATTATACCTTTCCATAACAGCAGAGTAATATGTTTTAATATTATCATAGATATCATGATTTATGAACTTACCTATAGATTATACCTTTCCATAACAGCAGAGTAATATGTTTTAATATTATCATAGATATATATTTTGGCAGAAGTAAATAAATTATAATAATATAATGTGTTTAATTATCTATACTAATATTATAAAGAGGAAAAGTTTGTGAATTGTAAGTTTGTGACGTTGTAGGGGGTAATCTCTGGATCTACTGTACCGATTTAGATGAAGTTTGGTAAGAAGATAGTTTGAGACCCTAGGAAGTTAAATTCAAATTCAAAATATTTTATTCAGCATTAAATTATTTCGATGAGACGTTTGGCTCAGTTTGCAGTGACCCTACTTCCTGTGCCAGCGGTCGCGGGTTCGAATCCTGCTGGGGGCATTCATTTGTGTGATGAGCACGAATGTTTGTACTCCTGTCATGGGTGTTTATATTTATAATATGTATGTATTTAAAAATTATATATGTGTAGTGTATCAACTATCTGGTATCCATAACGCAAGCCTCACAGCTTATCATGGAACTAGATAGTGCTGTGTTAATGTCTCAAATATATTTATTTATTATTTATTTATCGATAAAATTTTTGGAAACAGTATATTTTTATATATATAGGTAAATTATATTCATATCTGTTTTCCTACAAATTTTCAGTAATGATTATGGTCAAATTTCGACCACTGGGTGATTACTAATTCAAAATGTCGTAGAATGGCGCCTAGCAAAATAGATGTCATCGTTTAAAAATTCCAAAAAAAAAAACAACGAATTATAAAGGCTTCAAATTTCAAAACTGTCACTGAAGTATTTAAAAATATTTTTATTAAAAGTATTTTAAAGTATAAGTAGACTTATTTATTGTTTCTGTCAGTTAAAAAGTTCACACTATTAATCTAGTTAGGGTGTTTTTTTTTTTTTTATCCTGAGCCTCCAACATGGGGGAAGGAGTCTGTGTTTTCTACTTCTTTCATACCAGTTCTCGCTTTTATGCTTCTCGCACTTTCATTCCGCATACTATGTCTTTCTATCATTCATCCGCATTCGTTCCTAACTATCTATCTATCTATTTTATTTAGTTTCTTTGTTCTTATACTATGTAACACGGGGATAATAATTGGGGGTAGTCGGTAATTTTTATTTATAGTTTAGGCTTATTTATATATGCTCTTATTATTAGACTTATCCTTTTTATACACTATACATTATATATGTTACCACTAATATACTATACTATATTTGTTTAACATATTATTACTAACTCTTATTTCTATTGTTTACAGTTTTACATAATTTTTTACAGTATTGCAGGAATTTATCTCTTTTATTGTCTTTCATAATTTTTGGTAGTGCATTTTTATCTAGTTTTAGTCCGATTTGTGCTTCTAAATAATATCTGTCTCTATCGTGTACCGGGCACTCTAAAAGAACGTGGAGGGCAGACTCTGGACATCCAGGGTCGCAGACGCACGACGGACTCTCCTTGCACTTGAAGCGATGCAAGTACTCGGAGAATCCGCCGTGCCCCGTCAACATCTGGGTGACGAGCCTGTCCACCTCCATCTTGCCAACTATCTTATATGCCGCCGTCGCGTCCGGGAAGAACGTCTTCGTTACGCTAGCGGTCTCGCCATATTGGTATCGCTGGTTCCATTCATCAAGCGATCGCATGCGAATGCTCCGCTTGATGAATGAAACCGGGCAGCTGTCGTAATCGGGGGCACGCTTCAATTTTAGCGCGGCTTCCTTGGCCAAAACGTCGGCTCGCTCGTTCCCTTCTAGGCCTGCGTGGGCCTTGATCCAGAATAAACTAACCTGTTTATTCTGGAGCAAGGCCCTCCTCAGGTGGCCCCTCGCCTCGACGGCCAGGGGATGAAGGGCTTCTGTGTTGGTAATTGTTTGCAGTGCTGACATAGAATCAGAGTATAGTCCGAACGTTTTGGCCGAGTTTTCCGCAGACATCTGCGCCGCCCTGCATATCGCCAGTAGCTCCGCCTGGTAGACCGTGCAGAAGGACGGTAGAGCAAGCTTGAGGGCCTTAGTTTCGGCAGCGCCGCTCCATGCGGATAGCGCCGCACCCACTTTGCCTTCAATCTTGCTCCCGTCCGTGAAGATGTTAATATCATGGCCACTATGGGCCATGAATTGATCTCGGTCAGCCAGGCACTTGAGCTCCAGGTCGATGTGCTCGGCGGGGTGAGGTGACTGTAGCGCCGGGTACATCCGCTCAATCTCCCGACCCCCTGTCTCTCGCTGGGGCACCCCCCTCCTCGCCCCGTACAGCGCCGCGGCTTCGCGGACACGCAAGTCGAGGGGGAGTATCCCAGCGAGCAACAGTGCCGAGTTCAGGGAGGTGGTGCGGTAAGCCCGGCATAGCTTCTGTGCAAATCCCCTCTGGACCACGTTAAGCTGCTTGCGGATACCTAATTTATTTACAGCCGGCTCCCATACGGCGTCCGCGTACATTATTACAGGTTCCACCACCGCCCTGTAAATAGATCGTATGACCTCAGGGTGGAGACCCCAGCTCGCTTTTGCGGCCCTCGAGAGCTGCGAGTAAAAGGCTATCGCCTTCTTACAAACGTTTGTGACGTGCGTGTTGAAGGTAAGGCGCTGGTCTAAGACGACTCCCAGTAGGCTGAGCTCTCTGACCATGCCAATGTCGACTCCGCCCATGTGGAGGCGTGGGGTGTCGTGCTTCAGTTTGCGCGTAATGACCATCGCATTGGTCTTATGCGGCGCAAACCTTAGCTTGTTAAGGACTCCCCACTCCCTCACATGTTCGAGGGCGGCATTGGCTTGGTGTTCGACCTCATGAGCCGTCTCACCTTCGAAGACCAGCACCACATCGTCAGCAAACGCCTGGACGTAGTAGCCTTCGCCCTCCAGCTCCCTGAGCAATGGGTCCAGCAGGAGGTTCCACAGCATTAGTCCACCGATGGACCCTTGGACGCAGCCCTTCTCCGTGTCCCTTACAATCTCCTCTCCACAGTAACGCACTCTCACCTTCCTATCGCCCATGTAGCTTTCTAAGAGCCTCCTAATGTTGATGGGGATTTGTTCCTCCGCCAGTCTAGTTTTTATACGCGGCCACCATGCGTTATCGAAGGCGCCCTCTATATCCAGGGACACAAGTGTTAGCAATTTTTTGCGTGCTAGCCCCTGTCTGATGTGATTGACCAGGGTATAGAGGGCGTCTTCAGTGCTGCGCTGGGGCATGAAACCAAACTGGCGGGTGCTTAACCTGGGCGCTAGGTGGTGTTTTAATCGGGCGACTAGCATCTTCTCCAGCACCTTCCCAAGCACTGGGAGGAGGCCTATTGGGCGATACGACCGTGGGGTCGTATAGGTGTTTTTCCCCGGTTTACGGAGAAATATCACCATCGCCTCCTTCCAGGGCGTGGGAAAGTGCCGGAGTTCGAGGCACCTGTTGAAGAGGGCCAGGGAAAGGTCGGGGTCGCACTCTATCGCGCATTTACGCATATGTCCGCTGTAAATCCATCCGATCCCGGTGCCTTCTTCGGATTTAGGGATCGACTGGCCAACTTCAACTCCACTGGAGTGAAGGGCGGGTCCCATACATCCGAAGAGGTTTCGTCACAGGAGTGCTTGGCCTGTACCCTCACCCTTCGGTGCTCCTCGGTGTCATGTTCCTTGGAGTCCTTAGGGTAAAAGGTTTCCGCCATGAGCCTCACTGAGCCCTTTGCGTCCAGCTGTATGTTGTCCACGATCAGCGGTGGATCCTCCTCTATCTTGGACGTTCTGCCCAGCACTCTATAAATACCCCCCCATACTGTTTCCCCATCTTGGCGTTCGCAGAACTCTACCCAGCTGCGCGTTTGCGCTTGCCTGGCCTCGGTTTCGTATCTCGCCTTTGCATCGAGGTAAGCATCGACCACCATCCGACGCCTAACCGGTGCCGCGCACCTAATCCTACTTTTCTTGGTGGCCACCTCGCGCTTGAGCGCTGCTAGCCCCTCGGACCATACGGCAATTAATGCAAGAGGGTGGGACCTCAGTTCGCGAATCAGGGCACTCCACTCGGAGATGCTCGCCACCACAATGACTGCATAAGTCCACCAGGTCCTTACAGTACTTGCGTGAATGACCATAGCCCAGACATCTACTACACTGGACCAAAGGTGACTGGTCCTCAGCCCTAATCCACTGGAGATCGATGCGAACCGTCTGTTTTTGCGTTATTTTACTCCAGAGGATGGGCGAGGTGCCGATCACTACATGCGTTGTGTGCGGATTCCTTGCCCTCTTCCTATACTTAATTATTATGCGGTCATCCTCGGGGCCGAGGCCGTCAAACAGTCCCCTATTCTGGTTTCTCAGGGCCTTCGTTATATCCTCGTCGGTATAGCGCGAAAGAACGCCTCTGAGTACCAGAAGTGGGTCCCGGTTTTTGGCGTCCTCGACCACGAGGCCCATTCCTTCCTTTGACATCTTGTCCTTAGCCTTTTGCCTCTCCTCCTCATTCCTAAAACCCATGATTACCTTCCTGTCCTTCGCCTTCCTGACTCACTCCACCTTTATCCATCCTTCCTTTGCTTCCATCGTCTCTCTTATTCTTTCAAGTACCTTCTCGGATTGCAGAGCCTTTGGTCTTACTTGCTGCGGAGCCACAGCGGCTACATTGGCGTAGCTACGCTGATGTGTCTCCATCGCGTCGTTGTACTTCATCATCTTCTCCCCGAGAGCCCGAGTACACTCCGTGTTCTCTAGGAGAAGCCGAGTGAGCTCATCTATCTTTTCGACCGGAACTTGGGCCCGGTTTGGGTCCAGGGGCGCCGTAGGTGCGAGGTCAGTATTTGTACCGACCTCCACCCCACCCACGGGGCCCCCGGTTCCCCTCCGGGCCGTCGCGGCCTCTGAGATGGACTCGGGGTCGCGTGCCAATTTTTGGATCCATGCTTTGACCCGCTGCAAGCTTATTTTGAAATCTCTTTTAAGGTTTCCTGAACCTTGTATTACTGTCTCTACCAGGTTTTCCATTTCTTGCGCTCCTTGCACTCTGTATCTTTGAGTGGCTGTCATGGGTGAGTGGGCCTGTATGAGCTTCCCCTCTTTAGGACCTTCCTTATCCTTTTTTCCGATTTTCGCCTTGGGGGTGACTGGGGCGCCCTGCGCCTTTGTAGAGGCAGAACCGGGCGCTGTCGTCCCAGACTCCTCCATGGTACGTTTTTCTACTTCTGTTCCCTTTGTCCTAGAGGGGGGAATACTCGAAGATGCAGTGCCCACTTTACTTGTCTTAGGAGGTGTGCGATGCATGTTGGAGGTTGCGTCAATTTTAAGAAAATATAAAATAGTTTTTAATGTTATTTATTTAAATTGTATATATATAAGTCGAAGTCAACTATCTAATATTCCTGCAATAGCAGTTTGTAAATAATGTAAATATGTAAATATTAAATTTTCACAGTCCTTAGATCCTATTTAACTTAACTATACTTATACTATAAAGGTTTCCGCTCTCCGCGGTCAAAATGTAGAGATACTCTATCTCGACTCTAGGTAGAGTCTTGTTCTGCACTATCTGAAAGGCCTTCAAAGGGGCCATAGAATGAAGAAAACCACGTCGCGCTATGACCAGCGGTTACCGAGATATTCGAGTTTAAAATTTTCCAAGATGGCGTCAGTTAATAAAACTAAGTCTAGATTTACTTTCAAAAAAATTTTTCTCCGGAACCACTAGGCGCAGACTAACGTGCGATAGCTCTCCGTACTGGTCTCGACGAGCTCTATCATAATATAATACAAAAAAGGGGAGATTTTTGTCGACTCTACCTAGAGTTTTTAACAGCCTACAATTGTAGCCCTGGTCTTAACTAAGAGAATATAAAAGTCGCAATTTTCTACGATGATCCAAACTCGAGATATAATACTTTTAATAGTTGCAAATGGCGGACAGTATGGCCGCCAAAAGTCAAAAACGTGATTAAATCCTATAATCTTGCTCGAAATAGCTCGAGTTTGGGCTCGATCGATCGTTCTTACTATGTACTCTTCAACTAATTTCACAAAAATTTTTTTTTAATAACAATCCCCGATTTATGGGGTGTAAAAAACAGTTAAATTTCACTAAAAAAGTAAATAAAGTAATAAATACTGAGTCAAAAATTTCTCTAAAAAATTCTTAGGGCTAAACTTATTGTCTACTAATTTTCTATAAGGGTTGTGATTTAATTTCTTAAGGGGTTGTCCCACCACGTGTGCACCCTTAATTTTTAAAAAAATCGTATCTCAGAAACAACAGCTTCAAAAATTTTTAAATTTAGAATATACTTAGAACTAATTAAGGTCTACAAAATGCAATAAGATTTTTTGGGGGGTCAACGATCTTAATTTCGAGAAATACAATTTTTAAAACTAACAAAATTTAAAATTACAATATCTCTACAACCACTCATCAGATTTTAACGTTCGAGGTGTCGTTGAACTGCTCTCGTCGTGCTCCTCCCGATGAACTTGTCTGCAGCGCCCCCTGGCGCCGGGAAGTCGGACCACGTGGCCACGTGGTTGTCAGTTTCTCTTACTTATCTCCGCGCGCAAGCGCGGGAAAAATCAGCACCAAGTATATTCTTGTATAGTTCAATGAGGCGCGTCAGATGACACCATAAAAAGCCTACGTTGTCGATCTTGTTTAAGCAGCGTTCAACGTTAAAGTTTTATATTTCTTAAAAGTTCCGGTTTTTCGGCGATTATCCTATAGTTAGGGTGTTGCCACTTCCCAGTTATCTTATGGATGTTATAACTTATCCTGTACGCTAATTATAATTACAATCGATCGAATAACCTCAGGTTAAACCTTTTTTTTTTAAATTATAAGTTATGGTATTCAGTAGATTCTCATAAATACCTAGATTTTGAACAAAAGTAATCTAAAGATGACAATAGGTCTAATCTTAACACATCACTTTAATGATAAGAGTCACGCTCTGTAAGTTAGTTTGAGGCAAGTTCCATTATCCCATTATCGGAATAGAAATCCCTGAATCATCAGTGACCCTCGGGCAATCATTATATCGTGGAACAAGATATAAGAATATTTGACATTTTAAATAAAACTCTCTTTTTGGATTTTATGTGTGTGTTATATTTTGTGGGTAGCTGTCTGTAACAACTATATAATACCTTTGAGACATCCAACACCTCAGTCTTTCCCGTGACCATGATTGCTGTAAAGCATTCGAAACGTCGGGAACCAAAAATCAAAATAAATCCGCGAAATAATCCGAAAAGATAGTTTTATTTAAAACTAAGCTATTTAACATATGACAAAATTTAGTTTATAAATTATAATAAATGTGGTAGCCCAATGGTGTCACGCTTGCTTAGGAAATCAAATGAAGCGGTTTCGAATTCCGAGTCTTGCATCTCTAATATTTTCATGTGCGAATCATTACCAACTTGAATACCAGCTCTTGGGTGAACGAAAACATCGAGAGAAAACCTCCATGTCTGAGAAAACCCAGCAAGTTTTCGAAAGACATGTGAAGTCCGCTAACCTGCACTTGGTATATACGTTGGAATCAGCATGGAAAGGCCTACCCCCAGCAGTGGGACGTTATATAGGGCTGAATACAATGTAATAAGCACTATATTTTATAAAAATCCAAATTAATATTTGTATATTACAAATCTCAATCAAAATGATTAATCTATAATATAAAAGAATCGCTGAATGTGTTGGTAAGCGCAAATCTCGAGAGCAGCTGAATCGATTTCGCTAATTCTTTTTTTAGAATATTCCTTGAAGTACGAGGATGGAAGTCTAAGAACAACACTTTTTTATACTCCCATACAAAAGATTCGTAATAATACTTAAAAGTCAATTTGAACTTTAATACCATAACATAAAGTTTAAGTGTTAGTGGAGAGGTTTCTAGAATCGTATCAATATTAATGTCAATATTTGTCAATATTATTAACAAAAAAAAATATATGGCTAATGCTGGCTAATAACTATTTAATTTACTTATATAATAATGCAAATTAAAAATCTCTACAGTTACTAACTTATACCAAGCGGACGTGCCCGGCCGCGCCGGAAGTTCACAGATTTTTGCATATTTTCTTTAGATGATAATGATAATAATATGAAATGCCATAATCGCTTCATGACTCGCGCAAAAAAGGTTCTCAAACTTTTAATCAAATATTGATAACGATTCAAGAGATTTCTATCCAAAAAGGAAGATAACGACTGAGGTCTTTCTAATATTTATTTATTTTGTATTAGTTTCAGTTTGGAGCTTTGCGAGTTTATATTATTCTCATAATCATCACTAGATGTCGCTATTATGTATGTATGAATAAAAAAAATAATGCTAGCCCTCCATACATGTAACTAAGCTAAAAATATTGTATACATGTTAGCGTGTGTAAGTATCTTTAGAAAGGTTTTTTATTTTATATTTATATTATTTTATAGTCGTTTACATTGTGACCCTTTATTTTACTTCCCTTTCACCCCTTATTCTCTATCTTTCTCATTTATAAAATATGATACTAAAAACAATTTGGTTACTTTTAACTAAATAACTATCTGGCAACATTGTTTTTTTTATTTACCTCAAAATATCTTAGAATGTGACTTACAACATATTGTTGATTACTGACATACTATTCTTGTTAAGGGGTCCTCTATTCATACATTTCAAGCCCATCGTGTCCCTTTAAAGAAATACAATAATAATAATAGAATTTCATTACAAGTTTCATAGAAAAAAGTTCGAACCTCTTTGCTTAATTATAGCAAAACTCGAGAACGGTGAAAAAGTTCCATAGTATCATTATTTATTCCTAACATATATCAGAACTAATTCCATATAATCAATTGCCTCAATTTAGAGGGGCTATTTTATTCACTTGGACATAACGCCAGCTAATTCTGCTCAAAGATAAATTAGCTATCCGCGATCAGTGTCATGTCTGTCAGTAACGGAGCATGAGCATTTAGTGGGAACTGACCATGTAGTCATTATGATAGCAGCTGACGTTCATAAATAGGGGTATCGGGGTGGGTTTTATAGTTTAATAGTTCGTAATAAGTTATCAATGTGTATTGGTTATTTAAAAATTTTGCTTTGGCCTTTTCATGATACATTATGGATAATTAACATATTTTGATTAAGTTTTTACAGATATGTTTGATTGACTTTAAAAGAATAGTACCTTTTCTCTTTTTTTCATTCTTATATAAGGCATTGAACTAGTTAGATAAATGTCCAAAAAAATATCTTCCTCGCATGTTGCAATAATTTACTGTTAAAGTGATCCTCATACCTATATTTAATCATAAGAAGTTGATTTTTATCATATCAGCCAAATTAAAAAGATAACTATTTTTTTTTTTTAATTTTTATCCTCCTCTTAATTTAGGCCAATCTTCAGAACATATTATAATAAAGCAAGCCATATTAATATATGTATGTGCCAGCAATAGCTTTGTATGCACGAAATGAAACTAAACAAAACACAGTTTTATAAAGCTAAATCTATACATATAATAAAATTCTGAGTCGAATCTGTTCATTAAATATTTTTTGGAAGATCTTATAGTTTTTAGAATTTTCGTTTGCCTGTCTATCTCTCTTGTGTCTGTGTAGATTTTGATGAAATTTCGTATGATGATAACTGGTTATCCGGGTCAATATATATAGTATACTTTTTACTGCGGTAAAATACTCATCTCTGAGAAACGGATACTAAATATTAAAACGTAACTAGGGACGAACGCTAGCGGAGTCAGAGTGAGTCGCTAGTATAGAATAAAATCGTGAATAAGAAATTATATCCTTCCAAATATATTGTAAATCTTTGCAGTAATTTCCGCTTCTTTATACAAGCTTCCATTTCATATCTGACGAGTAGCTTTTCATTTTCTAGAATTAATACATTAAAAATTTAATAGTTCTATACAAGTAAAATTTCTCCTGCTGCTATTTGAAATTCATTATTAAAACCTATACCTAAATGTTGTAATATTTTGGCAAAAATTAAACCACAATTCAATCTTTTTTTTAATTTGCTGGGCACGGACCTTCTTTCAAAAAGAGAGGGATCAGGTCATAGTCCACCACGCTGGACAAGTGGCGATTGGCGGGCTTCATATATCTTTTTAACTTGGTAGATTCTTTTATGTGGTGATATAATGTGGTTTTATGAAGGTTTCCTCACGATGTTTTTCTTTACTATAAGACAAGTGGTAATCATGTTGGATATGATTAGCACATAAAACTATCACATTTGCGAGACCCGGGATTTGT